GGGTTTATATAAGGGCTACTATAAGGGTTTAGGGTTTAGGGGCCTTAATAATTAGAATAGCCTTTTGGGGTTCCTTTAAAGGGTTCCTTAATCATTATCTAGGCCTCTATATTAGAGTTTAGAGGCCTTAATAATCAGAGTAGGCTTTTGGTGTTCCTTTAAAGGGCCCCCTTTCTGCTCCTTAAAGGGTTCTATAATTCTTTAGGCCTCTACATTAGGGCTGTAAGTTTAAGGTGTCGGGTGCTAGGGTCTAGGGTTTAAGGTCCAGGGTTCAGGGTTAAAGGTCCCGGCTTTAGGGTTCAAGGTTCAGGGTTTAGGCTTAAGGATTAGGCTTTAAGGTCTAGGGTTTAGCCTTTAAGGTTTGGGGTTTAGTTTTGATAAGCATTTTATGGAACGCGGGCGGCTTGTTTTTTACCAAAGGAGCTTTGCATGGCTTAATGAAGTTTAGTTGGGCTGGGAGGCTTCATAGACGTTGACAGAAGGGTTTAAGGGGTGCTACAAGGGTTTACCTTAGGTTAACGAGTTTGAAAAGATTCTGCGAGATTATTAGGAAAGAGGTGTATAAAGTGGTTTAACCCCTTAACCTTAAACCCTAAACCCATTTGTCCTCCTGTATACCCCAAAACCCCCTGACATTCTCAGTTACTATCTACTTGTTAGATCCCCACAGCGCAATGGGAAGGAAGCTAGTACCCTTTAAAGGGGACCCTACTATAGACCCTTACAATACCCTTTAGGGAGCCCCTACTATAGACCCCTATAGTTCCCTTTAAGGAACCCCATTATGGACCCTTTGCGGGCTCTACTTTTTGGATATCCTCACGGCGATCTGGGAAGAAATCTAAGCTAAGCGGCTCCAATCCGTAATATGAAAACCCACGGTTTAGGGTTTAGGGTTTAGGGTTTAGATTTAGGGTTTAGGTTTTAGGGTTCTGAAACCCCAAACCCTTACACCCCAAATCTTAAACCCTAAACCCTAAACCCTAAGCCCTAAATCTTATGTAAACCCTTAGAGGAGCCCTTAAAGGAACCCCTAGAGGCGCCATTCAAGGAAAATCTAGAGTTGAAACCATGGGCCCCTAGTATGGGTTTTAGGGTTTAGGGTTTAGGGTTTAGGATTCAGGGTTTAGGGTTTAGGGTTTAGGGTTTAGGGTTTAGGGTTTATACTTACTATATACCCTATATGTACCCTTAAGGGACCCTAGAACCTCCCCATAAGGGCCCATATTAGGGGCCCATACTTGACATAACCTTGGATTAAAAGAAAAGCAAAGCCACTCAAAGGAAAAGGTAATAAGGGTGCACAAATAATTACCAATACCATTTTGGGGGGTTCCTTATTATAGTTAAAGTATAATATCCCCCCAAAAGCCCATTCTAATTAACAAGGCCCCTATAATGAACATTTAAACCATAATGAGGATCGCCTCAACACGTAAGGCATATTCTTGCCTAAACCCTAAAACTAAGCCCTAAGCCCTGAACCTACACCCTAAACCCTAAACC